TTATTATAATTTGTATTCTGCTAGGGGTAACAGGAGAGGAGAAATGGGAGATGAAAAGAAAAAAAATAATAAAGAGATGAGTATGAAGTGATAAAAAAGAGTGATAATTAAAAAGCTAAGAAACCAAGAGCACAAATAAGGAATCACTGAAATGTAGGCATCACTGCAGACTTTTTCATATGATTGCTAATCAAATTAACACAGTCCACTCTAACTCCTAATTGGTGTGAAACCAATTAATGACATTTGCTCAAGGCAATCAGTTAGTTGTACTTGATTTTATTTAAAACATGATCTAGAATGATTATGCCTGGCTATTAAAGTGGATGGGTAGAAAAAGGATGATGCTCATCCTGTGAATCTCCTAGTGTCCCAAACAGTGAATGCTATGTGGAGATCATCATTCTGCCATCCATGCTGGCAACTCTGCTGCCAATTTCCAATCTAATATATTATTAGGTTTCATATTGGAAAAAATACACACACTGATCATTAAAATAGCTTGGCCACTAAGGTTTAGATTTCACAGTAAAATATGTACAAATTATCAAGTATTAATTGTTGCTGTTTCATCCCCAGATCTGTCTCTATATGCCAGCAGTGTTCTAAATGGATTAAAATAAGGTTAGATCCTCAGCTGGAGTAAATCCACATGGTCCCATTGAGTTTAACGGGGCTGATTCTCCTCACATTCCATTGGATGAGAGTTATTCCATTATTCCTGATTTAAACTAGTGTAACTGAATGGAGAAAGAGGCCATTTTATTTCATTCTGTAAGGAAACAGTCTAGAACAGGGGTGGGCAATAACAGGTCCCTTTGCCCCCCCTTCCCACTAGGCACCCATGCTCCTGGCAGGGCGGGAAGAGGCTTCCCACGCTCCCCCACCCCCAGGCCAATCAGGGTCTGGGGGCAAGGGAGCGTGCAAAACCTCCTCTCGGCCTGTAAGGAGCACGTAGCACTTTGAAGTGCCACGTTCCTCGCAGGGCTGTGGCAGGGCAAAGGAAGCTTCGCACAGCTCCCCCACCCGTATGCCCTGATTGGTGCCATGTGCTCTTCACAGGGTTGGGAGGAGGCTTTGTGTGCTCCCCCCATCTCCAGGTCAATAAAGGCCTGGGAGCGTGGGAGCTGCGCGAAGCTTGCTTTGCCTTGCCCCCACCCTGCATGAGTGTACGGCACTTTAAAGTGCTGTGTGCTCCTCACAGGGCAGGGTGGAGGGTGGAGGAAACTCCCCCTTCTGCCCCCAGGCCAATTAAGGTTTGGGGGTGGGGGAGCGTGTGATATCTCCTCCTGCCCTGCGAGGAGTGCGTAGCACTTTGAAGTGCCACGTGTCCTCACAGGGTGGGAGGAAGTTTCGCATGCTACCCTGCCCCCAGACGCTAACTGGCCTGGGGCGGGGGAGCGGCAGGGCCTCCATGGGCCGGATCAATCCATTTGGTGGGCTGGATCTGGCCCGTGGAGGCCCTTTTGCCCACCCCTGGTCTAGAAGCTGCTGTATGTGGTTCCAAGCTATAGCATGAGTCTCTTAATTTCTTTGCTTATTTTATTCTACCTTTTGACAAAAATCTAGAAACTGTGCTCTTATTTATATCACATGATAAGATCAAAGAGCCAGACTAAAGGATCATAGACAGCTGAGCTTGTTTTACTTTTAGGCACCTTTGGTCAGCTTTTTTGAGTAGCCACTTTCACATTTCACTGGTGAGCGGGTGCAATTAGTGCCCGCTTAAGTAGCCTGAAAGGATCACCTCGAGATAACATAGATCATTTGGAGTCACAGAGATTAGATGCTCTTTTTTCACTCACCTTCTGTGTGGCAGAAGGAAAGGGGGAGTGGCCAGGACTGTCTCCAGTCTTCCCCTGCATTCTCAGTCTCTTGTGACCATTGTTGCTTGTCATAATTTAGAACAGCCCTCAGAATGCTCTAACAGTGTAAGTCTTGTTAGTCCTCTACAAAGCAGCCTTAAGTGCCAGAGATATGCACAGATAAGCTTTAATGACCTTTGCAGCCCATTCCCTGACTTGTGTACTTTAGCTAGAGCTGAGAAATAAATTGTCTATTTATCCTGTTTTAATGGGGCTTAAAATATACATAGCAAATGTAGTTTAACTTTGTAGAATAGCGTCAGAAGGGTAGCCGAGTTAGTCTGTAACAGGAAAAACTTAAACAACAAATAGACTAGTAACACCTTAAAGACTAACAAAACATGTGGATAGTATCATGAGCTTCCATGGGCACAGCCCATTTCTTCAGATGACAGGAGTATTAGAAGTCCAGATCCAAGAATAAATAATAGCTAAGTCTGTTCCTAAAAATGTTTGATAAGGGAAACTTCTTTGGCCCATCAATCAGGATGGAAGCCAGAGAGCTCGTCTGCTTGCTCCAAATACCCTGCATTTATCTCTTTTTATTGCTAGAAGGTTGACATCTTTGAAGAATATACACAATTAACAACCATGGAAGCCTGAAATGCTGAATAAGGTCATAAAGGGAAACTTCTTTATTCCACAAAGAGGTGCGATGGGGCATCTGCCCTGGCCCTACAAGGGTTAAAACCAGTTTAGGGAGCCTGTGTGGTAGGTAGCCACAGGTGAGGCTGCGGATAATTAAAGGCCAGGTGGGGCTGTATAAATAAGGGCTGTAGAGTAGGAAGGACCTAGCTTCCATGGAAGTTAGAGGCTTACTGAGACAGAGCAGTGCTGGGGGAATGGCAGGCAGGCAGGCAGGGTTGGGGAGCTCTGGCCTAACACGGCTTCTAGGCTGCAGGGCCTGAGGGTACTAGAGCTGCAGGGAGACAGCCAGGATAGAAGAAGGCAGCAGATCTACACCTCTGCCAATGATGGGTGCCCATTTCAGACAGTAAGATTCCTATCCACAGTTACTTTAGCTATATAATACATACTTCCTGCCCATTAAAGCTGATTGAATTTGGGTGGTTGTGGGGTTTTTTGGCTAAAAAAGCAGAAAGAAAAAATAAACAGTTTGTTTCATTCAACACTTTTCATTTTTTCACATTTCTGATGAAGAACCTTCTTGCAATGAATGCACTTGTCAGCTATAAATATCAGTGGAAAGAATACCAGTATTTCCATTGACATGTATGGCTCACTGAGGGTATGTCTACACTACAAAGTTAATTCGAACTAACAGCCGTTTAATAGGGGCTACACATACAAACCGCTAGTTCAAATGTAAATCGAATTAGCGAAGTGCTTAATTAGAACTAGGTAAACCTCCTTCTATGAGGACTAACGCCTAGTTCGAATTAAGTAGTTCGAATTAAGGGCTGTGTAGCCACTTAATTTCTAACTAGTTGGAGGCTAACCCTTCCCAGGTTGCCATGGTGGCCACTCTGGGCCAAACCAGGGAAACTCTTCTGCCCCCCTCCTGGCCCTGGAGCCTTTAAAGGGGCACGATCTGGCTACAGTGCTTGTGCCAGTTGCAAGCCTGCCAGCACCCAGCCAGCAGACCCTGCACCTGACACGGCATGAGCCAGCCACCCGCTGCCACCCAGCCCTCTGTCTCTTCCCAGGACCACGCTGGCAGCTCCCAGGAGCCTGCCCGGGGCCGCAAGAGGTGGGCGCCCACCTGGTCTAGTCCGGAGATCGTGGACCTCATTGAGGTTTGGGGGGAGGCCTCCAATGTCCACGACCTCCGCACTAGCCACAGGAATGTAGCCGGCTAGCGCAGGATAGCTGCCAGCCTGGCCACCAAAGGAGCAGGTTTGCATGAAAATCAAGTTGGTCCAGTGAGAACCCCGACCCTAGAACATAAGAACATAAGAATGGCTGTACTGGGTCAGACAAAAGGTCCATCTAGCCCAGTAGCCTGTCTGCTGACAGCGGCCAGCACCAGGTACCCCGGAGG